ATGGATATAGGTATAGTACATAACGTGCAGTGGTGTGATACTAGGGATATGACCGCAGACGGGCATACAAAGGGAAGCATCGATCGGGAGCTGCTCTTGGAAGTAATGTCAGGCACTCAGTCATTCAAGTACGACGTGAAGCAGTTTGTTCCCTTTCGGGGCCCCGAGGACAGAAACAAACCTAAGTCTAATCAATGTTAGTCTGTCCTTGTTGCCCCCCCGCGGTCCAATTTGCCAGCATGGGCGCCGACTACAGAGGCGCCCTTCTAGTTGCTCGGAAACGAGCCTTACATTTCACGCCTGGCAACGAGCCGGCTTTATATGACTCAGGCTCTTTGCCTTAATACATATTTGCTCGGTGAGGTATGGCCCGTTTGGCTTACCTCTAACTGAGCCGATGGCCCTTCATCGCTCGAAGGGGCTATCTTGTATTTGCGTGAAATGCCTTGCGAGGAAACTCGCCTTACAGTCTGGTGTTAGGCCAGACTGTACACACTGTTTTCTTTCTTGCAAACAGTTGTGCGCGCGGCCTTTGCAGAGCCTAACGGCTGCGCGGCTATGCTCTCCGTCTCCTCCCCTCCCGACTTTAAGGGTAGCTCTTTGGGATATGTTATAGTATCGGGAGCATAGCTCGCGCGCCGTTGCCTTTGGCTCAAGGCACGCGCGCCCTATTTGCCCGGACACTTACCTTAGTGTTAGCTATGTGCTGGAAAGACCGATACATCGATGTTTTCCTACCATGCCCATCCATTCCCCATATCGTATTCCTTCGACATGGAATTGGATGCAATGCGAGTTCATCCGCCTCCCATGGGGACGGATGCTATTTGACCTACCAGGCTCACTTTCGACTGGGGGGGGGTGGGCTTCAAGCCCCCCCCCCCCCTTTGCACCAAGGGAGGAAGGGGGGGGGGGGGGGTTTCCAAAGCCCACCACCCTTTCAAGGGGGGGGGGGGGGGGGCACCCCAGCTCCATTAAAAGGATGGAAGCCACCCCCCTTTTTTTCTCCGGCCACGAAAAGAAAGGGGGGGGGGGTAGCTTGGACCCCCCCCCCCCCCCCCCCCTTTCAAAGGGGGGGGGGGGGGGCCCACCCCGGCTCAATTAAAGGGGGGGGGGGGGGGTAGCTTGGAAGCCCCCCCCCCCCCCCTTCCCGGACCACGAAAAGGGAGGGGGGGGTAGCTTCAAGCTGGGGCCCCCCTTCTAGTCTGTCGGGCCCCACGAGCGCGGTCTATCCAAGATGCGAAGGGCATCAGTTTCTCCATCAACGAGGAGACGCTCACTTTCACGATTCAGTCTTTGGTGAACAACACTTTGAAGACATGGCATCGTAGGAATATGTCCTTTGGGACTAACCCTACCTAACCCTACCTCGGCCGACAGAGACTTCGCCCTACGCAATGCGCAGGCCAAGATATATCAGGCTATATATGAGGAGGGCAACAAGTGGACGCCTCCCGACGCACAGGCAGTGACACCTGCGGAAGGGGGTGATGCTGCTGAGAAGTCTGATATTTTTGCTCCGATCTGCAGCGCAGCATGGCACAGGCATTTGGACGCCCCCATCGCCAAACGAGTGACGGGGGCAGGCGCGTGCCACGGCCACCTCGCGCTTGCTCAGACAGGCCGAACACTCCGGTGCTGTCAGCAAGCGCGGGGAAACCTGCATTCTTTTCCCAGGCACCGGCTGTGCGCGCCAGGGGCCGCGGCAAACCCGGCTGCGCGGCTGCCACGAACAGCAGTGGACTCGGCTGTGTGGCCGCTGCAGAAAAGAAGGATTGCAACATCAGTATCATTCTCGTGCATATGCCATTGAGGATATACGGACAGCTTGCGCTGAACTCCGAGCCCGTGGATACATGTGGGGCCGCATTACACATACAGAGGTAATGACCTCCACTGGCACACAGCATTTGGGCGCATTACTCTCGGGCGATTACCTATTGTTGTGGGTGGCAACACTTGCTGATTGGCACGTGAGGCTGCCTGGTAAGAGGGCAGGGCCACGCTACCAGCGCATCCAAACTTTGATGACAAAAGCTCGGGCTCTGCGCATGACCATTGTACTTGCGGGGCCACCGGGATACTTCTGGAAGCAAGGTCCCATACGAGAAGCTATTGAAGATCTCGATTTAGAAGTCATGCGCATGCGTTTCTGCCACTTCGGCCTCAAGTGCGACCGCACTTACGTTGCCCAGCGGATCAGATCTGCAAGTGGCGAGGCGGTGGTGGTGGGTGGTAGTGCACATGGTGGTGGCGGTGGTAGTGGTGATAATCGTCGCTGCGCCCCGGGTTCGGGAGGGGGGGGGGTTGGGGGGCGGGGAGACCCCTCGGTTTTGATTGACGGCGCCGAGTGTTGGGGGGGGGCCACCCCCCGGTTTGAAACGCGCCGCCGAATGTTCCCAAGGCAAGCGCCCGTGAAACGCGTTTTTTGTTTCACATATGAGGACGAGAGGTAGCAGGGAGAGCGCTCAGGGCGCCGACGCATCTGACGCGCACTTCTGCGCAGACCAGTTAAACGATATAAAAGCACTGTCGACACGAGCCCGCGAGCGCTCCTAGAGAGCTTACCACTTCTGTTCCAGCCGTTGCGCGTGCTTCCAAGGCGTAGGGCTACCTAGAAACAGCGCGCGCGGAACGCGGCGCGCGAATGCTTCTAGTTATTGAATCGGTTCGACATGTGCGCGCGTATTGCCCACATGGTCTCATTTGACAGTGGAAGTCAGATTCCGATATTCGTATGAGTTCAGCTAGCGCGCGCGATCCTAAACCTTGGTTTCCTAATTCGGAAAAGTTTGATGCTCTGTAATGGTTGAAGGTATATGCCTTGAGCTGCTTCGAGAGCGAATGGTTTTGGAAGAAGTTTGGCATGCGCGCGTGGCGGCGCGAGCATGTAGCCTGCATGGTATTCTTGGACCAGGATTAAATCGCACGTGGTATATCAAATGTTGTGCACCGCAGTGTCGATACAAGTGGTCGGGTGATGATATGTTATATACAGACATACAGATAGACAACATCACGTTCCATATATATATATATATATATACAAGACTGCAGTGGCGCGTCGCGCCATGCACCTTGGCCCTTCGAGTTTCGCGCGCGGGCGGCGTGCGGGCGCGTGCACATGCGCGCGAATATGTGCATACATGTCATACGCGCCCACGCGCATGCACGCCGTTCATATACAGGGAGAGAGATACAGATAGGGGTGCATATATGTGTATATATATATATATATACACGTGCGGGGGGGATACTAGTGCACTTACACACCAATATATACATATATATATGTGTGTATATATATGTGTGTATGCATGTGTATGTTGTATATAGGTGTGTATAGCCATGATGTTGCAAACATATGTATCACGTATATGTGGGCAGGTCTACGTGTACAGATATGCATGTCTATCTACATGTGCGCGGTCGTGGCCACAGAGAGTGGGGCCACAAACGCAGTGAAGGGCTCGCGAGTGCGGAAATACTTCGAGAGGAGACGGCATGGAGAACACGGCAGAATGTGGAACGGCGGCTTGGGTTTACCAATGACCGTGTCTTTGGGACTACGGAAGGAGCTTTGTCAGGGCCGTGGGGGGCCACGGGACCGTGTCGCAGCGGGGCCCGCTTATCTCGACGCTGAAGTAATTTTGCGTCGCCGTTCGATTATGGGAGGCCTCGCGTTCAGAGTGTTAACGTCACGTGGACTTTATTGGAGCCTCCCGGAGCCTTCTGAGGGCCTCTGTGGGACGTGGTGCAGTCCCGTTATGGCTCGGGCCCGTCTTGGGGCGCGTATTGGCTCTGTTGGGCTGTCTTGGGGTCATGCTCGGGCTCCTGGCCCGTTTGGGGCCTGTCTTGGGGGCCTTTTCGGGCGTTTTCGAACTTCTGTGGGGTCCTTGCGGGCTCTGTTGGGACTCTGGGGACGACCTCTTGGGACTTCTGGGGGCCTCTTGGGGGCCTCTTGGGCCTCTTCGGGACCTCTTGAGCCTCCTGGGGCTTCCTGGAGCCTCGTCGAGACTGTCTGAGGGCCCATTTGGACCTGTTTGGGGCCCTCTTGGGCCGATTTGGGGCCCTCTTGAAGGTCTGTCGGGCCGTCTTAGGGCGATCTTGGGGGGCCTCGTGGGCCGTCTTGGAGCGTCCGGAAGCCGAAAGGGGGAGATCTCAAACATCCCCCACAAACCAACGGAAAATCAATGAAGTTTGTTTCGTGGGGCCCTGTTGGGAGTGCTCTTGGAGGCTTTTTTGGGGACGTTTTGGAGCGATCTCGAACTTCTATGGGGTCATTGCGGGATCTTTTGGGACTCTTGGGAACCTCTTGGAGGTTCCTGGGGGCCTCCTGGGGGCATCTTTGGCCTCTTGGGAGCCTCCTGGGGCCTCCTGGGGCCCTGTCAGGACTGTCTCGGGGCCCTTTTGGGCCGGTTTGGGGCCCTCTTGGAGGTCTGTCGGGCCATTTTAGTTATGGCGATCTTGGGAGCCTCGTGGGCCGTCTTGGATCGTTGGGAAGCCGAGAAGAGAACAACCCCCAAATCCCCCACAAACCACCAGAAAATCAATGAATTTCTCCTCTTGGGACCCTCTTGGGAGTGCGCCTCTTGGGACGTTTTGGAGCAATCTTCAGGGGGTATAACGGCTCTTTTGGGGTCGTCGTCAACCGTCTTGGGGATCTCTGGGGTCGTTTCGGGAGCGCGCCAGAACGTCGGGGGCCCTCTGGGGCCGTCTTTGGGCTCTCGTGAGGTCATCCCAGGTCGTCTGGGAGGCCGCCCAAAAGGCCCAGGGTGGGCCAAATTCTTTGTGTGTGTGTGTGGGGGTCTTTTACCTGTGTCCCCCGGCCTGATAAAAATAAGTGAATGGGAATAAATCAAGGAATACATACACGAAACGCTTACATTCCGTAGCCATTTTGGCTCGAGCCATCCCCGAGCGGCCCCCCACAGCGCCAAGAGGGCCCCCGCGCGCGGGCCACCCGGCGCGCCGCGCCCTTCCGAGGGCACCACCAGGCCATGGCGCGGGCCGCCGCCGCGGGCGCCGCGTGGGTCGCCGTCCCAGGGCACGAGGAGGCCGGCGCGGGCCTCGCCCCGCCTCAAGGTCGGGTTTGGGAAAGGGGGGGTTACGAAATCTGCTGCATGCAGCTGGTATCGGCCCCACCGAGGGGCCCATTCCTCGATACATGGGCGCCTCCGGCGCCGGGAGGCGCCGGGAAAATCAGCTACGTGAGCTGATTCTCAACCCCCCCCTTTGCTATCCCCCCCTTTCGCCCGACCCGACAAGGGCCGCCACGCCGCTGCGCCGGAGGGGCCCGGCTCGCCACCGCCGCGGGGCTCGCCCTGGCCTGCGCGGGCGGGCTGCTGGCCGCGCGCGCGGCCGCCCCCGCCGCGGCCCGGGCGCCGCGCGCCGAGGCCGCGGGCCCCGCCCCGGAGGCGCTGGTGGCGCTCGCGGCCGGCCCGGCCCCGTCGGGGCCGAAGCTGCAGCTGCCGCGCCTGCCTCCGGAGCCCGTGTGGGTGAACAGGGGGTGGGGCGCCCCGGTGCCGACGGTGGACTTGTCTGCCCTGCCAGGTTTTGCGGCCAGGGAGGCCGGCCTCTGGAGGAGGCCTCCCGGAGCGGCATCGAGGAGGCTGGCGTCTGGACCTCAGGATTGCTCCGCGCGCATCAAGCGCTTCGACGTGCTGGGGAGCCAAGACATGCAGCATGGTCCCGACCCTATGTTCGAAGCAGGCAGGCACTCGATCGCTTCGCACCACGACAACTGCGGGGACACAGCACAAGGCATTCACGAGGCGTGCTCGAAATTCAACCACTGGGCCACCTTCGAAGAAGTCGCGCATCGGCATGGCACACCGTTCATGGTTTTTGGCCCACAGCATGTGCAGTACCACGATATTGGCCAAGGACAGCTGGGGACCTGCTACTTTCTTGCTGCGGTTGCTTCTGTTGCGTACTCTGACCCGCAGGTCATCGACAACATGTTCGTGGATCGGGAGAAGTGGGACCATAACATCTTCACGACAAGGTGGATGCTCAATGGCAAGGTGATGCTGGTGGAGGTAGATGACATGATCCCCGCTCACGATGGTGTCCCCTTCTTCGTACGTCCAAGCCACGAGGGGGAGTTCTGGCCAGTGATTCTGGAGAAGACCTGGTCGAAGATCTTCACCAGCTTCAAAGCTGCAGAGGGTGGCTTCTGGGAGAACGTCGTGGGCGCGATCACCCGCGCACCGACCCGCAGGCACCTCCACAGCGACGTGACACGGGAAACGATCTGGGAAATCTTGTCGGATGGCACTGCTCGCAAGTTCCCCATGGCAGCTAGCGCGTGCAGTGGCGCGGAGAAGTTCGGCATGGCCCCTGGTCATGCGTATTCCGTGTTCCGGGCTTTCCATTCGCCGGAATACGGGGACGTCGTGGAGGTCTTCAACCCGTGGCACAGAGATCACTACAATGGTGCAGTCCCTAACGAGGATCACGACGACGGTAGCTTCACAATGACATTGGCAGAGTACTACCAAGCATTCGACGCAACATCCCTTGCAGCGTTCCGAACGCACTATGTGAATTCTTACAGGGTTATCCAGAGAGAGTCCCAGAGCAAGGCTAGCGTCCTGGAGTTTGAAATGCCAGATGACGATGTGTTTTATGTGTCTTTAAACTGGCCTTCTCAGCGTATGGTCAAGCCTTGCCAAATGAAGGACCCCAAGGTCACGCTGGCGGTCGCAAAGATAGAGGCAGGAAAGATGGAGAAGCCAGTGTTTGGCGATCAGCCCAGTTATGGCATTAACAGTGCCACTGCGAAGATAACTCTGGGCGCAGGCAAGTACGTTGCATTTGCATCCGCGGACTTTCCGGATGGTGACTTCATCGACCAGGTTGTCTTTGCAGTGTACGCGGCCTCAGAAGTTAGCATCGATTCGACAAACGACACGGCGCCCGATGTTGGACTCAGGATGTTTGGCCCCGCTGGCGGCGCGCGTTGCGATCAGGTGACGGTGAACGGGCGGGGGCTGTTCACGAAGAGGCCGGACAGAATGTACGGGGGCATCCCAACGTATTGGAGCTTCGATGGGAAGGAGTTTGCATATTTCGTTGCAAGTTCCGAGAAGTGGTCGGTGGTTACCCGAGACCGTTGGACAAGTGTGCAGAAGGGTGAGCTCTGGCACGTGGCACAGATTCCCAGGTCTGACCTCGCTTGTGGCTGTTCCGACTCACCTGGGGGCGTGGCAGGTTTTCGGGATGTCTCGTGCAGTGACGTCAAGGAGCCCTACCCGAAGTATTCGAACGTGAAGTGCACGGGTGAGTACGCGACCCATGTGCAAAGGTATTGCCCAGGTACGTGCGGACCGTTGGATGTTTGTGCCTCGTCATCAACTTCGTCTCCAGGACCAGAGGATCCCACGTCGAGTGCCACGACTCCCGCCCTAAGGCTCACTTGCCTGGATCATGAGCAGACGGGTATAACAATCAACGATGGGCAAAGCACAGCCACGTGCGACGAGCTCCGGTCGTATTGCTTCGTGTTTGAGGCAGTCCAGTCGAAGTGTTGCAAGACATGCGAACGCGAGGCCGAGCAGGCGGAGATCACCGACGGCAGCGACGCAGGCGGAGGCGAGTGTCACGATGACGTAGGCTTCAGGTTCACCGTCAACGGGCTGGAATTGGGGTGCGGCCAGGCGGGCCGTTATTGCGAGGACCACGATTCCGTGCGAGAGTTGTGCTGCCAAACATGCAAGCAGCAGTTGGAGAACAACATCAACGAGATATGCTTCGATGACCCCGAGCCCGGCATCGTAGCACAAACGCTCGGGGCGAACACTTCCTGTGCAAACCTCAAGGAGTTCTGTTTCATGGAGACTGTCCAGGACGCATGCTGCAGGACATGCAAAGGAACGTCCAGCTGGACCTGGACCCGGACCTTGTGGACGCCGTGGCGGTAAATCGTAGGATGCGATGATGCTCTCGCGCCTTGCGAACTTGGCGTCGTGCCCCGATGCGCTTCCATGAGAACGCTCTGGGTGCTCTGTCCACGGGCCCTCTGGGCAGAAGCCCCCTCACACATGGAGAGAATTTGATGTCGCAGCACGCCGTGCTCTCAAAGCAGAGCAGAGCATGTAACGCGGACTAGTGATGCAACTGCGTGCGTGGCACAAGGCCTCCGCACTGGACCACAGCGAGACCACGCCATCTGCGGGCTCGGGTCAAGAATACTTCCCCGCATGCTTGTGAAACAAAATGACTTTCGTGCATAACGCATATGAAGTATCACGCAGCTGCTTGCTGCAAGTCCCGCCACCGTGCCAGCCCAGCATTCTTGGGTGGAGGCTATCCGAGGAGGCACGGCAGGCCGTCATGTGTGACACCCCGGGCTTCTTCAAGGCCTCTGCGGCCTGTTGGGGGCCTCGTGGGGGCCTCTTGGGGGCGCCTCGGAGGCTCTCGGAGGCTTTTTGGGGCCGCTTGAGTGCGCTCTTGGTCAGTCTGAACGCTTTCGGAGTCTGTCTTAGGGGACTCTGGGTCGTCTTGGGGCCCTCGTGGGGACCTTGAGGGCCGTCTGAGGGTCCCCTTTGTCAGACTTGGGGTCCTCTTGGACCGCTCTTGGGGAACCCTCTTGAGTCGTCTTGGGGCTTTCTTCAGGCCCTCGTGGGTAGTCTTGAAGCCATCTCGGAAGCTTCTTGGGCCGTCTTCAGCTGACAGAAGCCCGAAAAAGCGAGAATGCGAAATGCGAAAATCTGTCAACAGTCAAAAGAAGATCAAGGGGCTTGGCCTATTCGAGCCCTGCTGGAGGTTCTCTTGGAGCCGTCTTCGAGGGCACCTTGGGCGGTGTCGATATCATCTTGGACTGTTGTGGAGCCGTCTCGGACGCAGCTTGGGCCATTTTGGCGGCATTGGTGGCCTTCTTGGGCCGTCTTGGAGGCCATATTGCGCATATTAGATGGCTTGTACAGCGGCAGGGAGCCGCCTGGCAGACCAGGATGTCTCGGGAGGGGGGGCGATGCACGCGGGTAAGCGAGGCCATTTTGGCTCAAGCCGCGACGGCTTAAACAAGTTTTATTGTGAAAGCTTGTGCTCGTGAATCCGGTCGGCCTCAAACTGTGTGAGCCGAGCTGTTCGATCTGCAGAGGGTGTTCAAAGCACGTGCGCTCGAGCCCTGCTGACTGGGTTGTGAAACATTTGTTGAGGAAAAGTGCAGATGTCAGACGTCCGATTTGTCACCTCAGAGTTTGCTCATCGAAGGGGGGGGGGGCTTGAGAGATCACTGGGACATCTTACCCCTCCTCAGTGGGCCAGGGGAGCATGGTGGCGGATCTCAGTACCCCGACAGGGGGCCCGCCAACCCCGGCCTCCGTGGGGCGGGAGGGTTCCGTTCTCGCTGGGGAAAGGAAGGCGTGTGGCACGAGCTACGTCGGAGACCGCACGCTCGCTTGGTGCTCCCAGCTTACTGGAATCAGTCTTGCGTCCTCTCGAGGAGGAGGGCCTGGAGCCTGACGTCATTCTCTACAGCTCGCTGATCTCCGCGTGCGCCAAGGGGAAGATGACCGAGCGCGCCCTCGCACTCTTCGAGGAGCGGCCCGAAGAGACGCAGGGGTGGAGGCAGGCTGCCAGGATCTCGAGCAGCAGCAGCAGCATGTGTCCCCGGCTTATACTAGCGAGACAAGGCGAGGCGAGCCCCGAGGCCATCTCCCTTGGCTGCTGCAGATTGGCCTGCAGCTCATCCCGCTCGAGAGGCCTCTTGGGTTCCTCTGGGGGCCTCTTGGGGTGGCCTCTTGGGGGGCTTCCTGGGGGTGTCTCTGATGCCCCGTAGGACTTCCTGAGGACCTCCTGGGGGCATCTTGAGGCCTGCAAGGCGGTTTCGTGCGCGTGCGTGCGCGCGTGCGTGCCTGCATGCGTGCGTGCGTGCGTGCGTGGGATGGTGTGTATGCATATGTATATGTATATGTGCACGTGCACGTGCATGTGCATGCGCATGTGCATGCGCACGTACATGTGCATGTGTGTCTGTTTGTTTGTGTGTGAATTGCGTCTGTGTGTCTGTGTGTGCCTGTGTGTGGGCGTGTCTGTGTGTGTGTGTGCACGCGTGCCTGACGATGGTCTTGCCACACTTTTCGTGATTGTCTTCAAGACTCCTGAATTGTTGATTCCCGGGCTTCTGCAAGTTTGGCGACCCACGTGTTTTTGATTGACGCGGAATACCTGAGCGTTCGCGAAGCGCGCGCATAATTCTAGTCCAGAGTTACTGGACCCCCGCCCAGAAAGTAGACTCCCATCATATTCAGTCCAGGCTACGCTCAGATTTCTAGCTCCCTTTTTCCCAGGGTAATTTATTCTGCGTCTAAGCACATTCGGCTGCCGAATGGACCTGGGGTGGAGCCCGTTCGGCTGCCGAATGGGTAAAATTCTCGCCGCCCTTTGGGGGAATTGAGCCAATTCGGCGGCCGCGTGTGCTTCGAACCTGAACGGGCTCAGACAGGAACCCTGGGGTTCCTGCTCCAGGAGGGCCAGAGAGGGTGCGGGTTCTCCGTTTTTCGTGGTTTCGACATGCTTCGCATGTTCAGGGGAGGGGGAGGGGAACGAGGAGTCAGGCAACGGGTTCTTCGGAGGCGCGCAAGGTGTTCTGGAGAAGTCCACGGGTCCCTTTGGCGGACCCCACCCCGCCCTCTGTTCCGATCGTCGACCGTGCATGGGAGGCACGCGGACGAGACATGGATAAGGTTCGGGGTCTGTTGCAGGTCTTCTGGAGGGTCCCCGAAGGGAAGTTTGACAGGCTTCTGACCAGGGGCAGCTCCGTGAGCCATGACATTCAGCAGCCTCGCACATGCACAAGCCTTCCCCCTTTGTCTTCTGAATGCTTGTTTTGTGTGTTTGTTCTGGTTTGTCTTACGAGTAGTATCGAAGACGCCTACGGCGAATCACCGCCGCCCCCTGCCCCTTTGGAAGCGCCTCTTTGGCCGACAGCTGGGCCAGAGCTTGACCAAGCTATCGGGCCAGTTGTTCCCCGTGTCGGTTTGGAAAGATTTCGGGGAGCGCATGGGGGAGCAAAGAGGAGGAGGGGGAACATGAGGAAAAAAGAGGAGGAGGAGGCGGAGGAGGCCTCTTGGGCGCCTCTTGGGGCACTCTCGGGGCCTCCTGGGAGCTTCCTGGGGGCCTCTTGGAGGGTTTTCGGGGGCCTTTGGGTGCTTCTTGGGGGCCTCTTTGGCCGTCTGAGGGCGTTCCTGGCTTGTCTGACGCCGTCGGAAGCCATCAGTGAGGCATCCTTGCAGGGCCATGCCCAGCGTGAACACCTCACCAGAATCCGATCGTAACTGTTTTAGGCGCGCCAGCCCTCGGATTCCTGCTGAAACTGCTTTTGAACTGACTTGATTAAACGATGCGATGAAAACATATGCACGACACTAGGGAGTGTGTCGTGGAACATATTGGGCGAACGACCACGGCCATGCCCAATCCTGATGAATCTTCGCCATCTGCTCCGTGCACGTTTGTCCAGGGGGGACGAGGGGACAAGGAGGATGAGGTGGAGGAGGAGAACCTGAGAAGGAACAAGAGGAGTCCGAGGTCGCGATTCGCCTTTGTGGAAGCGCCTATGCGGTCGACAGCTGGGCTAGAGCGTGGCCAAGCTAGCGGATCATGTGTTCCCCGAGTCGGTTTGGAAAGCTTTCGGGAAGCATTTGGGGGAGAAAGAGGAAGAGGAGGAGAAGGCGGAAAAAGGAGAAGGAGGGAGTATGCCTCTTCGGAGCCTCTTGAGGCACTCGTGGGCTCGGTTGAGCCATCTTGGTACCGTCTTGGAGGCCATGTGGGGGCTACCTTGGGCTCTCGTAGAGCCTCTCGAGGGCCTCTTGGGGCCCTTTGGGGGCTTCTCGGGGGCCTCTTTGGCAGTCTTAGGGCGTTCCTGACCCGTCTGACGCCGTCGGGGGCCGTCTCGGAGGCTTCTCTGAACCGTCTTGGGGCGCTTCGGGGCCGTCTTGGAGGCCATCGTGGGCGTCTTGGAGGCCTCTTGGGCCGTCTTGGGGCCCTCTTCGGGCCGTCTTGGAGGCCTATTGGGCCGTCATGGGGCGCTCTTGGAGGCCTCTTGGGCGATCTTGGGGCGATCTTGGGGGCCTCTTGTGCCATCTTCAGCCGTCGGAATCCCGAACAGACGCACATGCCAAAATCCTTCAAAAACGGAAGGACAATCTATGATCTTGGGCTCTTCGGGCCCTCCTGGAGGAGCTCTTGGAGCGTCTGGGAGGCCTCTTGGGGGCCTCTTGGGCCGTCTTAGGCCATCCTGAGGCTATCTTAGGCCGTCTTGGGTGCATCTTGGGCCGTCTTGGAGGCATACTGGGGCCATCTCAGCCGCCTTGGAAGCCATCTTGGGCCATCTTGGGGCCGTCTGAGGCAGGAAAACCGTTTGCAACCGGGTCTTCCAGGTGGCCGGCGGGACGCGTTGCAGCCCCAGGTTTTTTTTTCTGGGGGGGGGAAGAACCAAAACCAAAACCGAAATCATTTAGCACAGGGGGCGGCGGATCGAATGGCCTTCGGTCCATCCCGCCACCGTGCCTGGTTTGTGGGTCAGACTTCTCTGGGATGTTTCTTATGGGTTCTCTTGGGAGCCTCTGGTTGGCCTCTTGGGGGCCTACTGGGAGCCTCTTACGGTTTCCTGGGGGGGCCTTCGGGGCCGAAGGCTCGAAATGTCCGTTCGGGTTCCCTATCCGCCTCTTGGGCCGTCTTGGGGCCCTCTTGGCCGTCTTCGGGCTCTCTTCGAGGCCTCTGGGGCGGTCTTGGGACGATTTTGGGGGTCTCGTGGGCCGTCATGGAGCGTCGGGAAGCCGAAAAGACCGGAACGCCAAAATCCTTCAAAAGCCTAAATCGAATCAATGATTTATGCCTCTTGGGGCCCTCTCGGGCGAGGCTGGGTGAGGTGAGGCGGGGGGAGGCGGGGCGAGGAGGAGGATGAGGAGGGGGAGGAGGAGGAGGAGGAGGAGGAGGAGGAGGAGGAGGAGGAGGACCAGTGTAAACCCAAGAGTCGTCAACGATGTTGGAGTAAACCCTCCTTCCAAGCTTCTTCTGCATAGGCCCCTACCACGGTTCATTTCCATTGGAGGACCTGCCTCGTTGGAAGGTACCCGTTTGGAGACCAAAAACATGCCAAAGCATTGTTCTCGGGATTCCAACGCCCGGATCAACCTGACTGCTGCGCCTTGACGATCCTGAATAGAACGCCATTCCTAGGAGTTCAACACAAACAACCAACGTAACTGTTGCACTCGCATTGTCCTGAATCCTTCCCAAACACCATTTCTAGTACGTTGATGATGAGAATCCGTGAAACTCTTGACAATGTTGTAGACGAACGCACGCGGCGCTAAGGCGAGAGCCACATATTGAAAAGGAGCCGCCCTCATTCCGTGGAACTCTTGCAATGTTTTAAAACGAGTACATTCGGCGCTAAGGCGAGAGCCACAGTTTGAAACGGAACCGCCCTCAATCCGTGAAGCTCTTGCAAATTGTTGCGAGAGCCACATTTTGAAAACGACCGCCTTCAATCTGCGAAACTGATGCCATTGCTTAAGCTTCAGATTCATAAGTGGCGAGGAAGTCACAGGCGGAACGCCTGGACCGCTCTAAAAAAATGCCTCGGGGTGCGACTGGGATAAAGCATTCATAAGGAAAAAGAATGGAGGAGGAGGAGGAGGAGGAGGAGGAGGAGGAGGAGGAGGAAGGGGAGGAGGAGGAGGAGGAGGACCATTGCAAACCCCAAACGCATCAACGATGTTACAATGGACTCCCCCCGAATTCCAAGTCCTTGTGATTTTTTTTTGTTACGGGAAGCGCAGCATTGGAAGACAACCGTTTGAAAATCCTCAGCCGCACCACAACACCATTCCTGGGGTTTTAACCCTGCGGACCAACGCTGCGTCCTGACAACTCTGCATCGTGACAGAATAAGGTGCCCGGGATTTGTTTAACCCAGCGAAGCAACGTGATCATTTCGTCCGGACCGTCTTTAATCGTGCCAGAAGACAACTCCTCGGATTTTGATCATGCAAGCCCTTGAAATTGTCGCAAAGTGTAAGACGAATGCGCGCGGCGCAAAGGCGGGAAACACTTATTGAAAAGGACCCGCCTTCATGTTGCGCCGCGCTCGAGGGTGGGGGCACATTTTGAAAACGAGTCGTCGTCCATCCCTGAAGCTGTTCCCACTTCCAAGCCGACACGTCTACGGGTGCGACAGGGAGGAGGTTTGGCAACGTGGGGCCTGGGCCGCTTAGACTCCTCAGGAGTGATGATCGAGGCTTAGAGCATAGGCCCAAGACCTGAGGACACGCCCGCTTCGTGCCCAGCGTTACGAGGGCGGATTTTGAACAGAGTACTCGCGCGAATCTTGTGTGTGGGGGACACTGGGCGCCTTGTGCGGGGCTCTTGTGAATGCCCTTGGGGCTGGATCCTGGCGCCCGTGCTTATGCAGGAGAAGGAGGAGGCGCAGAGTATGCACGATGGACACGGTCCCCTTGCACAAGACCCTTTGTGCGCG